TCGATCGTTCTATGATTTTTCATAGCACAAATAAAAATTATTCTTTGTATTCTTTCCGAGCCACAAACATAAAAGGCTTACTTTTTCTGGAATTTGAAATATTTCAAGCATTGTTTATTCCATCGCTACGCGGCTGCAGTTTTCCCCCGACTGTTGTAACTGAATTGCATTACCTGGTGGTCAGCATGCTGCTATACTGCTGATTCTAGCATTTCTTTTCCATATTTTTCTTCCTTGTTTTTTTTCTCAGTGAAAAATACTGGATGTTACGCCTTTTATTATTTAAGAATGGATATGTAAAATAAACTTGTAAGAAAAAAGAAAACGCCGAAAAATTTAAATTCTTATGATTAAAATTTCATTTTATTGAGGAAAGCTCAGTCGGTGGGTCTTTTTTATAAAAGAAGAAATTTCATTTGCAAAGATAAAATTTTTCTGGAAGAAAATCTCAGTTTTATCAATAAATTTTGAATTTTGAAAGAAGGAAAATCGGTTTTCTATGCGTTTTTGCAAAACGCATATTGCGGCGACCCCGGTGTGCGTGTGTGTGTGTGTGTGTGTATTTGTGCATGTATGTGTGTGTATGTGCGTGTGTATGTGTCTGTGTGTGTGCGTGTGCGTCTGTCCGGGTATTTCAACTCAGCGTCCAAGCAAGCTCCGGCGCCAAATTTTTGCGAGTGGGTTCTCCGGCCAAGTGCCACCCCAGAACCGCGGTACCAACGCTCACTTACGTCTGGGCCCCGCGTGCAAGAGAATGAAAGTTTTGGCGGGGAAACTGATAACTCGAGAACGAGAAAAGATAGAAAACTGAAGCTTTGAGGTTATGTTCTCCGTCCACATATAAGTCAAAGATTTTAAATTCAGCCCCCAAGTCTGCGCGTTTCCCGCGTACGGCCTCGTGAGGGTTCCTGGCGCGAAAATCGCTTGCTCGGGGACCAAGAAACTGGGGATCTGGAACTTTCAGCGAATGTTCCCAGTTCATCTACAACTTAACTTTATCAAAGTCAGCCCCTCGTTATGCGTGGTTATTACGTACGGCCTTGTGAAAATTTTTGGCGGAAAATGGCTAACTCCGGAACCAGGGAAGCTGGTTTGCTGAAAATTTCAGGAAATGTTCCTAGTTCATCTGTTATTTATATTTATCAAACTCAGCCTCCAGCCGTGCGTGGTTGCCACGTGTGACCCTGTGAAATATTCTGGCTGGAATTTGGGTAACTCTGGAACAGAAAGCTGGTAACCTGGGATTTTAAGGGAATGTTTCCTGTCCAAGCATAGCGTGGACAATTAACTTCCCAAAATTCGAGGACTAATATGTCAGAGGTTTCTAGTTAGCGGAATTTCGAGTGATCTTATTACAGCACGAAACACTGCAAAACGCATGATCGCAGAGGCCCGCCCAGTACACGTCGCCAATGATTAGTTTAGATAAAGCTTCGTAAGAAAATTTTCGTTATTCTGTATAAAATTTCATATTTGCAGTAAAATCTCATTTTTATGCATTTTGTGCTGGGTAAGAGCGGTACAAAACACATTTTGTTACAGGGTTGTCTGTGTGTATATGTTTAAGTGTGTGCGTATCCCACATTTTGTCCCAGTCGGGACCACAAAAGCTAAGCGGTTGAAATTTTAGTATAGTGTTCCCTTCCAACATTTGACGCGGCAAACTTAAATTCAATTTTTCTTTGCCCGCGGGTAGCATGTACGGCCCCGTAAAAGTTTTGGCGGGGACAATTATTATCTCGAGAACTACGAAAGTTGGGAAAGTGAAGTTTTGTGGATATGTCCTCTGCTCACTTGCGACCCAGAAAACAAATTCACCCTTCCCATGCCTGCGGGTAACATGATCGGCCTCGTAAAACTTTTGGCGGATAAAATCATTATGTCAGAAACCGCGGAAGCCAGGGAACTGAAATTTTATGGGTGTTCCCCTTGACCACGTGCAACCCAGAAAATTTAAATTCAGTTTTCCCGTGCGCTTGGGTATCGCATACGGCCTCGTGAAAGTTTCGGCGGAAAATTATCTCAGGAGCCATGAAAGCTGGGAAATTGAAATTTCAGGGCGATATTTTCTGCCGCTGCAGGGGGGTGTCTTGCAAATTCAAATTTAGCTCCTAAGTATCCAGAGGTCTTGCGTAAGGCCATGAGAATTTTGATGTAAAAGTCACTAGCTCGGAAGCTGGAAAACTAAGAGGTAGAAATTTGGAAGGATTTTCCTCATCCATGTTTGCAAATTCAGCTTTCACATACCGGCATGTGAAACTTTCAATGGGAAATTCCTCCTTACGAGCCAAACAGCGTATCTAGTATTTTTCCATACACGGAAGTGTAAAACAGTTATATTCTTATTAATCGTCCGCTGGACGGAACTGCGCAGAACGCATGATCGCACCGGCTACCCTAGTGCGTTTCGCTATTTATTTTGTTTTTAAAATGCTGTGTTTTTCGGATGAAATCAAATGGTAATTTAATTATTTAAGTTACTGAAAAATTTTTCTTAATGCTTTTTATTTAAAGAAAGACTAAAACTAAAATTTTGAAAAAAACCCTAAAATAAAGAAAATTAAGAAAAAAGGAGAAAAAAACCCGAACTTTATAAAAAAAAAGTAGTCTCTTTTATAATCCAGTGATGATGTACATCATACTTGGTTACGGGGAAGTTGAAAAAAGGGGCTGGGGAGTTTGGTTATGGGAAATGTGGGTGTTTAATCGTTGCCTTAAAAAAAGTTATGTATTTGAGGATAGGGCATTTTGCTTCGCGACTCACTCCTATTCATCCAGAGCTATTTAATCGCTAAGGGCGGGATTTCCTTGAAAATTCTTGAAGTCATTTTTGTCTGGGAATTGGCCGTTTCCGGTATAATTCTGAAAAATCTGTACCTTAAAAAGACGATTTTCTTACGTCAGAACTGTGACTCTTTTCGTAAAAGAAGGCTTTCAGAATTATCCTCAATTTTTTGAGATTCTGGAGATCCTAATAAAAGCAGGCAGTTAAGGTCGAAAAGGCATTGCTGCGCAGATGTGCGGTAAAATTAGGGTTTTAACATAAGGTGGAGGAACAATAACTGTCCAGGAATTTTTTATAAATCCCCTTC